TGGGGTGGGGCAGAACAGCGGCACTCATTACTGTAATTATATTCCTCCGCGACTGGCCACTTGTAGTGCCGCCTATCGTCTCCACTGTAAAGAATGCGTATTTGATAGTGTCGGTCGGGCGCCACCGCCGCACCCCTTTTATTTTCCCACCCTCTGAGGGGGGCTCCTCCCAACCACACATCATTGGAAATTCCCTCTCACTAGCGGGCTATGGAAAGGGTATGGGGGGTGCAACGCTGAGCTGCTGTTGTTGCTGCTTCTGCTGCTGCTCGAATCAGTCGACACTCGCCCCCCGAGGAATCTGTGCACTGTCAACAACCTTCCTTGAAAACGATTGTGGCAGCTTTGACGTTTGCGAAAAAAACCGTGAACTATTTTCTTTTGTGAATGAGCGACGGAAAATGAATCCTTTCGTAGGCTTACTTTCGTACTTTGCGAACAAAATCTTTCGCAATGTTTCATCGTCCGAGTGCACTGGTTCCTCGACCTCATTGTCGGACTGCGACTGGTGCTCCCTGGAAGCGGTCGGCACTACCCGCGCTAGGGCCCGGGTGCGGCTGCGGTGGTCCGGAGGGGAAGGCAAGGGGGGTCCATCCGTGTTTGGGTGCGGCTGTGCCGGGCTCCGCCGCCCCCGCGGTATTGCCGCTGCTCCGCGAACTCAAACGGCCAGATGAAGGCAAACACCTCATAGTGAGGCGGCAGCTCCCAGCCTCCTCGGCCGCACCGAGCCCCCCGGGCATCTCCCCCTCGCCCCTACTCCTTTTACTCTATCTCAATCCCCACCGCTCTCTGTCCCTCTCTCGCTCTCTCGTTCTCTCTCTCTCTCTCTCTCTCTCTCTCTCTCTCTCTCTCTCTCTCTCCTAGCTTCCTTCCCTGCGGCGTGGCACAGGCGAAAACAGGAACAGAAAAGGAGAGATAGAGCGGGGGGACGAGGAGTGCTGGGGGGCTTCGCGAAGGAAAACATTTCTTGCCGCTCGCTGCTGAACGTGCTTGTTTCATCAGTACATCGTGAAAGGGAAACATTCGCCTGGGCCTCTCTCCACCCACTGCAGCAGCTTGGCAGCCGGTCGTCGGGCCTCCGTTAGCCCTCACATCTGTAGGGCATGCTCTGTGACTACGAGGACCACCCTAGTCCCCTAGTCCAGTGAGCGCCACATTGTTGGGGGCAGTGGAGAGCAGAAACGGGGGACGCATGACGCATGGCGTCTCATTGCCTATGGGATCTCACATAGAGTATACGTCCGTTTTTCCTCATATTCATTCGACTATTTGCGGAAGCTCGGCGCCTGCGAACAACAGGGTAGGCCAGCCCGCGGTACACGCATGCATAGCAGGCAAGACGTTCGCCTACCTACCAGGCGCTATGAGGTCGCTACGGCTGAACTTAGCACTTTCGTGATGGTGAACGTCCGAACGTCGGACGTACTTTCTGGTGATGACACCTGGGAGCTGGGAGTTGGAACGGCCTCACTCAATTTTCTTATCATAATTTTCTACATTTTGCCCGATATATTTGTCTTGTGAAATGCCGCAGTACAGCATTGTACTGTATGTTTCATAATTGTGAATAACAAAACTGGCCGTGGTGCTATCCTGCGGGAGGCGGCCTGGTCGGTCCGGCCCGGTGGCCCCTGGCGCCCGCCGGGTAGCCTGTCCCGTGGCGCGCCCGTGCCGGCCGGGCCTGCCTACCCGCGCTCCGCAGGCGCTCCGCTCCGGTCCGCAGCACAGCCGCAGCCGTGTGCGCGTGCGCCGGTGGCAGCTGCAGTGCCGTGCCTTGGTACTAATTGATGCGTCTGTCTGTCTGTCTGTCTGTCTGTCTGTCTGTGTGGGGGGCATCCTGCCTGTCGATATGTGCGTTCTCTAACGTTGACTGTGGCTGTGAATTCGCCTGTCCACCGTTGCGCCTGCTCTGCAGTGGCACATCACCCCCGTCTAACCCACCGCCCCGGCCAGACTATGGCTGGCTGGCTGGCATGCGCTCCTTTGTTCACGGATGCCCAGATGTAACTCATGTTTTTCGTTTGTTTTTGTGTTGCAGACTGAGCTATCGCAGAACCTGCAGCAGCTCTCGGAGAAGGCCAAGAGCACCACCGAGTTCATCCAGAGGCTCAAGGGCATGGCGGACAAAGTGAACGTGAGTGACATGGCGTGGAAGAAATTTTCTTCCAAATAACTTCTTTCATTAATTAATTTTAATAATTTCTTTAAAAACACTCTAATTTGATAACGTGGGTCGATGTGGCGTGAAAGAAAGGCTGCGGGACAACATTGTCGTTAGGG